TCACGCAGGCTGTGGAAGGAGGAGGAGGAGGAGAAGAGAACCAAAGAGAGGCTTTTACCGGGTCTGCGCCCCACAGCCAGGACCGTCCTTGCGCCTCAAGCCGCGTTTCTTCCTGCAAAGCCCTTCGGGCAACCCGAGAGTTCGGTTTGACGCCAGAAGGGCTTTGCAGGAAGAAACGCGGCTTGAGGTGCAAGGACGGTCCTGGCTGGGGGGCGCAGACTCAGCAAAAGCCTCTCTTTGGTTCCCTCCTCCTCCCCCTCCTTCCACAGCCTGCGTGACGCTGCCGCCCAGGCTGAGAGCTGCCGCTGAAACAAGTTTGGGGAGGTCCTTTGCGGACGGCCAGTTCTAGCCACCCGCAAAGGACTTCCCCACGTTTGCTTTGAAAGAAACCTCTGCGCGGCAGTTAGAAACCTCTGCGCGGGGGTTTCTTGCCATGTGCGCGGCCGCGCACGCGCGCACCTTAGAGGGAACAGTGTTGCTGATACTTACCATGGCTTCCATTAAATGTTTGTTCATGCTCAGTAGAGTGTCGGTCTTCATCATCAGAGCTTTGAGTTTCCCGCATATGCTCAAGAGTGCCCAGCACATGAAGATCCCTCCTTTTGGGCTTATTAAGTCTAGCCTCCTGTTGCAAACGCTTTTTTAGTTCTGCCTGAATCAATAGATAATTCCTTATAAGTTACAGATACACAACCGTCTCAAAATGGCTTAAGAGATATTCTCCTTTCTGAAAGAAACTGAAGTTGTTTTAAAAAATGCCAGCAGAATTTTAATCACCTTAAAAAAAAACCTTTAGACTTCTGAGAATTCTTGGTGGAAAATCATGGCCAGTAGTTTTATTTATTAAAAAGAAGAAAGAAAGAGGTTTGCATTGCTGTTATAGTCTTAAATATACAGTATATTCTTATTTTATCTTAAAAATAATAACATAGTTCTAAAGTGCAATTTCTTAAAAAATAAGTTAATTGAGAAATAAAGTTTTAATAAATATGTACATATAATTGCTATACAAATGAATAAGTTTAACATGATTAATGTAGTAACGTATGTTTAATATGCTTCCAGTTCAAAGATTAAACAGATCAAACAACTACTGCTATACATACACCAATAATACAACTTTCTACAAAACCCATGCCATGAAATTGCTATTCAGTGCATAAAACAGAAACTCCCTCAATTTACTCTATCATTCACTTTCCTCCTTAAATATTCCATTAGTATTGCACCAGTAGTAAAGTATCCCAGGTTTACCTCTTTTCTGATTTCAAGCATCTTCATCTGTAGTAAATACTGCCTTCTTCCAGCGGGATGCCTAGTAATGTGCTCTCCTCTCTCTACTTCCTTCCAGGTTAAGCAGAGGATTCAAAGACATAACAAAAACCTTTTATGAAACAAAGCCAAGATAACTCTTTTGAGAACATTATTGTCCATTGTTTATATACTAGGGAGGTCATGGCTGCCAAAATCCAGATGACCACAAGATGGTTGAAAACTAGCATCCTCTGGATTTTGTTAGCCAAAGGCCAGTAACCAGAGGTAGGTTTCACATAATTTTACCACTGGTTTGCTGCACACTGAAAATGTGAGTGCATGTCACAGCCTTCCGCGCATGCGCTTTGGGTGCACACGCAGCTTGCACACATGCACACAGCTTAGAAAAGATAACTAAATAGTGCTGGGACAGGTGGGTGGACCCACCCCCTGGTAGCCACTACCAGTTTGCCCGAACCAGTCTGAACCTGCTGAATACCACCACTGCCAGAAACACTGAAACAGTCTTCACCAGTCTTCTTTTAAGCTATTTAAAATCATAGATTCTTTACCAACAGATGTACCATATTTTTTGGAGAATAAGATGCATCTTTTCCCCCCAAAAAAGAGGGTGAAAATCTGGGTGTGTCTTATACACTGAATACAGCACTTTTGGCCTCCTGAAACCCCACCTCCTTCACCAAAATGTCCGTGCATAGCCTTTAGGAGGCTTCCAGACTGCTCCTGGAGGCTGGGGAAAGCAGAAATGAGTGAAAAATAGGCCATTGTTTTGCCCCTCCCACCCAACCCCCAGCCCCCAGGAGCACTCTACAAGCCTCCACAGGCTATGCATGCCCCTTTTTCTTGACAAAAAGTGGGCACGTTTTCAGAAAAATGGGCCATTTTTGGGAGGGCTGCAGAGTGCAAAAATTTTTTTTTAATTTGCCTCTTCAAAATCTTGGTGCGTCTTATACTCCAAAAAATATGGTAACCATAGACGGTTTTGAAAAGATACAGAGACAATGTTACATCAATCTGAACTTTTCAAAGTCATCTAAAGGCAGGGTCAAGAAAGTCAGGATGGCAATCATGATTACACAACTGTCCATCCTCATGTGCATCGTATGTACAGTAGGCATAAAAATGAACAGGACTTGAACTGTGCCTATGTAGCCATCATCTTGCCTTTTCTTTTTTTTAATTTACACCTATAGATATCCTGTTCCTACAATGGAACATGGGAAGTGAACAAAAGGCAGTCAAATCAAACATTTGTTTAGTCTAGATTGCCTTCTTCCACTTTTATGACCAATGCTTCTTTATTTTTAATGCCTGATATTTGAAGGACAGTAAATTGGAGATAAGTACTCCAATCAATTTCTTGATAAATATTTCAAGACTTTCTGTAAGATGACTCTCCCTAATTGATTTGACAGAGATGTCCCATCATCCCGAAGCATTTGCCACACGGTGATCAGATAGAAATAGTAAGCTTAGACACCTGGAAAGGCCCAAATTGGAATAAGTTACTTTTTAGATACAAACCAAATTGACACATTGATTGCAAACTAACAACATGGAAATACTTGCACAGTTATGTTGTTTACAAATTGAAAGACTGGAATACCACCTCATCTGGATGTTGTTAGGTTGGCAGCAATCTGCTGTGTTTGAGACAAGGCAGTTGGAGTTCGGGTGACAGCCCTGCAGCCTAATTGGGACACTAACTCCATTCTCCATAAGGGGAGGTCACCAGTAGCAACTGATTGCAATTTTTAAGAGTCACCCAACTACTCTACAAAAATGACTATACTAAGGATAGGATTTATGTTGCTTCAGCAATAGCTGGGTGACACTACAGATCACTAACACAGAAATGGCTTGTGTATCAAGCATGAATTCCTAAAATACGCAAGTAACAGAACTAACTTACTGGGTTTTGCAAATAAAAATGTAACCATATTTATCCCTACTACGTACCTGGGATCACAAAACATGTTCTTTGTATGGTGGAGGAAGAGGCAGAAGAAGGAGCAGAAGGAAGAGGAGGCATGCCCAACATTTTTAGAAGGGTGTTGAGTTTTAATTCCAAATTCATCGTTCTTTATTTCATAAATCAATTCTTGTACCCCCAGTTTTCTTTGAATATTTACCTTTTCCTTCTGCATCACTGTCCCACCTTGCAGATTCGGGTATTTGGTTGCAGGGATGTTGTCTGCAAGAATAAATGGCTCCAATTTCTGAAAAGCCAAGAAAAGAGTAAAACAACCCTCTGGAATCCAAGTGAGATAACTTGATATCTGTGGCAGAGTCTATTTAAATGTGCCCTTGAAGAGCAGATTTCCAGTCCATGGGATTTTAATACATTTTGTACAATCGGGGTCAAGCTATTCTTCAAAGCACCTGAAGGCAGGACAAGAAGCAATGTGTTCTGACTTAGGCTTCCCAAAAGCATGAAGCCGACGCCTTGTCCTTATAAAAACCCTTTTATTTAGTTTAAAGTGAATTCCTCTCCAGCAAAGTCCTGGCCAACAGTCTTTCAAGAGATTTCACAACCTTTATCAGAGCTGCCAGGCCAATATCTTCCAAACACCACTCTGTAGCAGGCAATTCTTGGCAAGAAGTCAGGAACAGATCTTCACTTTAATGAATTGAACTAATTGTCTCCTGCAAACTACTCTATCCTTTCGCTCCTCTTTATTCCCTATGGGCAGGGCCATTCACCGGCCACCTGTGGCTTTACTCCTGAGCTGACGCTTGTTCCTTAGCTGTTCCCTTCTCTTGGCAGCTCTGCACATGCACACACTGGAACAGGCTCCAGTTGTTCTTCTGCCCCACTGATGTCCGACTCTGAAGGCAGCTGATGCCTTCTGACGGCCCTGGCCCCCTCCTTGCCTCTCATGCAGAACCCTTGTCAGAGCCTTCCCCAGACTCCAAGAGTGGCCCATGTTCCTCCCCAACCTCCTCACTGTCTGAGTCTGCCACCAGCTCTGCTGGCAGGCCACAACGTAATGGATGAAAACTAATCAAAGTTTAGAAGCAACCTAGAACTAAGAAGCAATTGCAGGAGCCAATCCAGGACCAGAGGTTTTGTTTTCCGAGTTTTAGGACTCGTGCTGGTCCCAGATTGGATCATGCAACATAATCCTGGGATATCTATATTCGCCTTAATTCCTAAGGAGAAATTTCCTGACAGAACAATTAATCAGTGGAACAGCTTGCCTCCAGAAGTTGTAGATGCTCCAACACTGGAGGTTTTTAAGGAGACCCAATACCGGATGTTCTGTTTGAGCAGGAGGTTGGACTAGAAGACCTCCAAGGTTCCTTCCGACTCTGTTATTCTTTATTCTATTATTCTAAATCTGGGGCCAGACAAAGGTTGTGTTTTATCCCTAAAATGTATGTTCTGGCCTCAGAATTTTTTAAGAATTGCAAACTCCTTCTTTTCCTGGAATTCGCACATTGTTCTCAGCATGCCCCAGTGAAAGTGCCAGTGTGCTGCTTTGTTGTTGTTTTAAAATTTACTTAGATGTATATGTTAATAACGGTTCACCGACAAAACCGTGACGAACAAATGAGTGCCAACAAAACCGCGACGGACAAATGAGCTCCGTCAAAATCGCTAATTGATTTTCGACAATAGTGCACCGACAAATGTGCGCCGACAAAATCACGTCATCAAGAAACTATAGACAGCCCAGTGAGTGTGTTGGGCGTTTAACATAGTGGGACGCGTATACGTACATTATAACCCTAACCCTAAATATTTTCGATTTTATTGTGCTTGTTATCGCGCTTTTGTCATCACGATTTTATCGTTGCAAATTTGTCGGTGCGATTTTGATGTCAAGTTTTAATCAGCGCTATTTTGTTGGCACGCATATATCTATCGCGCAATTGTCGGGTCACAGTTAATAACAGGCGTTTTTATGCTGCTTTGGTCAAAACAATCTAAAGAGAAAAGAGATGCCTTCAAGGTTTCACTCAGGATGTCCATAGAGGGCGATGTCAAAAAAAAGTAAGCTACCATATGATCAAAGCTTTTTACCTAGCCTGATCTCCTATATTTCAGAAATGAAGTACCTGTCAGGCCTGGAAGCCATCTTTGGCATTGGGCCTTCAGGCCTGGCACATCTTTCTGCTGTGGGAAAATGGGAGGGGGGTTATATGGTATATGGGAGATATATAGTCTAAATAACATTCCTTTCTCAAAGCGTCAAGGACATCTTGCCCTGCACCTGGAGTGGTGTGACTAGGAGGCATCTCCAGTTTGGACAGTACCTGATTGGACCATGTGATGGACATGTGGGTGCTGGGCAGGGACTTGAGCTTTTGTTTGGGTGGGGGAAACCTGGAAGCTTTCAGATTCGGGTTTTCCCAGATGTATCAATATGACATCTCTAATAAAATGGAACTTTGAGGAAACTCAAGGCTTGGAGTCTTCTTTCGTTGGGGGTGTTACTTGGAACCCTGACATTAAACTGAATCCCTTTTAAAACTCAACCAGCTCCCCTGAACTCCGGGGTGCTGTCTGAGGTCCGGAGCCCCAAGCATCAAAACCAGGCAGCACAATGACTCAGGGAAGATGGAGGACGACATTACCATCCTCAATATATATTTTCCCAGAAAGTCTCATAAATCATCACTTGATAGATTTCACTCTCAAGTGCATTTATTACATTTTATAACAATTTGTGACATTTCAACGAAGTTTCACCAGCAGTGGTGTCCACAGAGTAAGAACGGAGGCAGGGAGGTGGGTGAGGCGGATGATATTTGCATAGTAAGCTTCACGTCCTTTCTTGTTGCATCAAAATGGCTCATGTCTACTCAAGAGAGGTAGAGCTTAAAAATGTAATGATGTTTTGGCATTCCGATACAGGAATTTTTCAATGTTTCTGGCATCAGACAAGGATTGGCCAGGTATGACCAAGGTGAGATTATTTACAGCTCTTCCCATGTAGTTTGGTATTCAGTACCAGTTAGCCTAGAATGGGATATAGGTAGTCCTCGACTTTCGACCATACATTTAATGATTTTTCAAAGTAACAACAGCATTAAAAAATGCGATTTGTGATTTAGTCCTCCCACTTGCAAGCATTACAGCATCCTAATGGTCGGTCACATGATCAAAATTTGGGCTCTAGCATCTGGCAAGTATTTATGAGAGTTGTGGTGTCATGGGGTAATGTGATTGACATTTGGGACCTTCCCAACCAGCTTCCAACAAACAAAGTCAGTTGGGGAAGCTGGATTCACTTAACAACTATGTGAGTCACTTAATTGCAGTGATTTGCTTAATGTCTGTGACAAATCAGGTTGTAAAACTGAATGTGACTCATTGAACAACTGTCTTTGCTTAGCAACCAAAGTTGTGGTCCCAATTGCAGGTCCTAAGTCAAGGACTACCTATAGCTGGCCAGGCAACCATTTCTCTTTGTAGTATATTTCCCAATAACCTTTCGAAGGATTGCATGTCGAACTTGTATTTATCCAAAATGCAAGGTGTTACACAGAAGAATAGTTGCATTCCCTTTGATAAAAAATTATCTTTCGCATTCTATCTTACATTGAACAGATTTAAGGACTTACAACAAAGAAGAAAAATCAAAAGAAAAGTTATAGCACATTTACAAACATTGACTCCCAAATACATCCCACATTATTCACTGGAATTTTTTCCCAGTGGAGAAACTTCTGCTTTTTCCATTTGTAAAGAATGGTTACTAATCAAGGTACAGTCACTAGGTGGCAGCCAGTAACACTACAAAGTTAAATGTTTCTTAAATGTTTCGTTAAATGTTGCAAATGCTGTTGATGTGCAAAACAGGGAAGGCAGACAGGTTATAGTCTTTCTAGCTGATAAACATCATCATGCATGAATAAAAATACAAAAGTGTAAAAATAATGGTTCAATTTAAAATAAAAACAAAATTCTAAAATGATGTCAGAATTCATACAAGGAGCACACAGCTTTTGGTCCACCCAAACAGATCCTATATTACCTTGGTCAATGTTTCTCAACCGTGTCAATTTTAAGATACATGGACTTCAATTCCCAAAATGCTCCAGCATTGTTGGTTGAGGAATTCTGGGAATTGAAGTCCACACATCTTAAAGTTGACAAGGTTGAGAAACACTGACCTAGATCCTATCCAAGTTTCCATAATGGTATCTGATAGAGAAAGACGGGGGCAAAATAAAATGAAATAGGGCATTCATAAACTTGCTTAATATTTTTGGCAACCACCACAATATTTATCAGATTTCAGAATTTAAATAATCCACGGACCCTCTTGAGTGCTCCAAATTATTTTATGATTTTGGAAGAAAGTAGAGAAAAACAGCATTTAAAGAACTCCTCAAACCTTCAGTGATATTTCCCGTTTCATGCTGTATTGTAATAAGATGACCATGTCTTCTGATTGACCCAGGCTAGTTTAAATATTGTTAGTGGTCCAAGCCCATTTTATAGCTTACTTGAAAGAATTGTTAGTTCATTTATTTAGGCTTTGTTTTTTCCCCTTTTGTAAATTATGTGGGACCTATCTGGGAGGAAGAAGTGGAGCCCTATAGAGAGGTGAAATAAATAAAATACGAGGTCAGTGAATCCTCTGGGTGGCAATAAAAATTAAAGACCTAGATAGACTATCCTTACCCTTAAGGATGTAAGACAGATCTCATCAAAGAAGGCTTCTTCAGCTTCCATTAAGACAATATATTTCATTGGTGCATTTGAACTTCTTTTCAACTTCTTCAACTTCAATATCAACTTCAACTTCCATTTCAACTTCTACCCTCAAAAATACAATATAGGGCTCTGCACACTAGAACAACTAGACACAAGGACAGTTTTCCCCCGAATGCCATCACTCTGCTAAACAACTAATTCCCACAACACTGTCGAATTATTTACAGATTACTGTTCTGCCTCTAATATATACTGATGCAGACTTGGATGTCTGGCACAACTAAGGAGGGAGATAAGCAACCCCTTGGCTAGAAAAATTATCTCTATGAAAACAAGGCTTGAACTCACAAAATTCTCCCAATCTTTCAGTACGCCTGGATTAGTAAACTGTTGTTTCCTGCCAAATTCCCCTCCTGTCGCCCCACCTATAAGCTCTCTGGGAGGGGCCAATCAGTAGCCACCTGTTCCTATTTCCTTCTGTGAGCCTTTTTCCAAAGCTGCTCCTTCCTCCTCTCAGCCCTACGCATACGCACGTCAGGGGCAGCCTCCCTCTGTTCTTCCTTACTGCTCCCTGACTCAGACGCCATCTGGTGGCCAACAGGCCTCTCTAGTCCCTGCTCTGACTCCGAACAACCCCCAGTTTTCCTCAGCCTCCAGGGCAGTCCCATAGTGTTCATTGCTGTCAGATTCCACCAACAGCTCAACCGGCCTCATGGGCCACAACAATTACTATTATTCTTCTCATCCTTCCTAGTATCTATTTCTTCCCACTTATGACTATAACAATGCTGCTTGTATCTTTACACTTTATATTGTCCAATCACACTTGGCCAATAAAGAATTCTATTCTATTCTAAAAAGTTGTGTTTCATCTCCTTTTTGCCTAATTGGCTAGTTTTCATTCAGAACCTTAGCACTCTCTCCGAAATTTGGAATGGAAGGTTCCTCATGAAACACCTTTTGCAGTTTCTTTGAAACTTACTCATTGCTGAAGCATTCGAACTCTGCAAAAGTAGGCCACATGAAAAGAATCAACAAGCTAGCAAGATGCATCCAGCAGGATCTCATAAAGTATTCTCAACAAGAAGAGGGTGCTGGAGGGGATTGAAGGGATTGAGGAGAGTGAAGGAGGCAGACCTTCAAAGAGATTTTAGCAAATTGAAGAACACTAACAAGAATTCCTTGGGGAGTGGATTTTTCTCATTGGAATTTGCTGATGTGGCTTGAAGAGAGAAGATGTCAGCAATTTAAATTCAGCTTCAGTGTGTAAGAGAGAGAACTAGGGATCAAGAGGCATCTTACCTGAAGCCTTCGAGGTGGATGTTGCTTGATGATGCTTCCTTCTCCTCCTCCTCCTCCTTCACCACCACTACAACCTCCACCTCCTCCTCCTCCTCCTCCTCCTTGAGTGGGGTCTAACAGATTTGGCCTGGGCACTTGAAGGAAAGGAAGCATTTTAAAAATCTGAGCTGATTATGTAAAATTGGTGATTTAATATTTCTTTGTTATGGAAGACGGACTATTTGATATTTTTAAAATAAAGAATGGGGCACCCAGCTCATTTTTATTCTTGCACTTAGATTTTATTGATAGAAACAAGGAATGGTCGATACATAAAATCAGTGTTTCTCAATCTTGTCGGATTTAAGATGCGTGGACTTCCACTCCCAGAATTCCCCAGCCAGCAATGCTGAGGAATTCTTGGAGTTGAAGTCCACACATCTTAGAGATGACAAGATTGAGATACACTTCGTATAACATATCCCTTCTTATTAGTCCAAATCTATTTACTCAAGGAAGGGCCCTTTTTGTGACTACACAAAGCAGAGGTTCATGATAGACACTATCCAGGACACTCACAAAACAGGCACTTTAGCAGGACTAGTGTGAGAAAACGGCTGCAAAAGAATTACAAACTGTCTTTTGCAGGAAATCACTTCTCTATTATCAACAACAGAATCCATTTTTTAAATCTTTTTTCATCAAACGGAGATGTTTATGCAAGTGCTTGTGGTATAATAAAACAATACAGGATCTGTTGCTAAATGACCGAAACGCATTTGCATTCTCTGTAGTCTTTCAACTTGTGAGAAGTGAAGACTCCACTTAAAGTAGAAGTACATTTCCTTTCATCTTTAAAAGAGAATAATCTGCTGCTAGATTATCCAGGAGAGGAGGGGGAAATATATCCAGACAGAATCACATTATCATTATTATCTTTGGGGAAACAGCTTATCTTTTCATGGCATAGGTACAAAATGTGAAATAAACATAAGAAACAAAAATAAAGCATGACAAACTACCCAGAATGGTCCATCGGCATATCTACAAGAAATATCACTTGTTTCCAAGCCAGAATTGGTGGGATCATAAAAAAGACAAAGTAATAGAAATTTAAAAAGCTAAAGTGCTCTGAGACTTTACAATTCAAACAGACAAATATCTTTCCATACAACAACATCCAGAATTAACAACTGTTGGTAGGAAAAAAGAAAAAAAAAAAGGACGGGGGAGCACCTGGAGACCACAGAAGAGAAGAGAAAGGAGAAGATAACAGAATACAAAGACCTGCAAACAGAAGTAGAATGACCGTGGTAACAGATGGCAAAGGTAATACAGATAGTAATCGGCACCTTGTGTACAATGCCAAAACATCTGGAGCACCAGCTGAACACAATCAGCATTGACAAAATTACCATCAGTCAATGGCCAAAAGGCAAATTTACTTGGAATAGTTTACATCTGGCAATGATATTTTCAAACATATTAAATTATTATTAAAATTGTGAATAATAAATGGTCAAGAAACAAGGAAACTGGTGGCTCTGTCAGATTCCTTGAATGTTATCTAGCACAGAAAGGCAAGCAAGAAATCACATCATATTAATCAATCAATCAAGATTTTGTCTGTAGTCTGATCCAAAAGCCGGCTGGGTCAGAACTCCAACTGGTGCCAGCCTTTTGTTCCCATAATAGTCAAGGTGAAGGTAAATCCACAAAGGAAGCTTAAAAGGGCGCCATTCCTTGCTTTTTAAATTTCTCCTCTTAAAAATTGTTCCTTCCCCTTGACAAGGGAAATTTTATCACTCATCTTCTTATTAAACACTGAACCATGGGAATATTTACCCAGCAGCCCATTTCAAGAGACCTTGAAGAACTTATTCTGGAGCAGTGATAGGTGATGTGACAATGCATCCACAAAACCTTCTTTCAGGCTCAAGACAGACTTCCTGGCCCATTTAATCTTTTTTTGCTGGGTGGGGAATTCTGGGAAGTGAAGTCTCCGTAGCCAAGTTCAAAAAACACTGGTTTAAGTCGATTCATTTGTGTTTCTACAGTAATTGGTCTCTTGATTCTTTTCCTTAAAAACTGTATTTCAAAGGTCTGAATTGTCTTGCTGTGTAATAAGTCTGTCTAAAGGACCCATTCCAGAGGTAGTATTCAGCCAGTTCTGATAGGTTCTGGAAAACCAGTATCAGAAATTTTGAGTAGTTCGGAGAACCGCCAAATAGGCTGGCGCCGCCCCCACTGCCTCCCAGCCTCCCAGCTGATCTTCTTTTGTTACTGGAATTTCAATCATGTGACCTGAATTTTGATCATGTGATCATGGGGATGCTGTGGCAGTAATAAGTGTGAGGACCAGCTAAAGTCAGGGTTTTTTCAATGTTGATCGAAATTTGAACAGTTGCAAAATGAATTATTGTAAATTGAGAATTATCTATATGTGCTAATCAGAGATGGGCTGCTGGGGGTTTGGGAGAACCTCTAGCTAAGATTCTGTGCAGTTCAGAGAACCCCCAAATCCCACTCCTGGCTGGCCCCACTCACCCTGCCCCCCCCTCCCAGGAGTCTCCATGCAGCCTGTTTGGGATGCAGGTAAGTGCAAGGCACTTGTGGAGCGGAGGTGGGTTCCTACCTATTCGGTCTGGTTTGGCCAAATAGGTAGTAACTCCGGACACGTGGCGTCCGGAGTTAGGACTCCGACACGTGATGGTACTGGTTCTATCCTCAACGGTGCCATCTTGATTTTCTGTTCTGCACATGTGCGGAACAATCTTCATTGAAAAAATGTAATTCTATTCCTTTTTCAATGTTATGCGCGTGTGCAGATTGTTTTAAGTGCAAATGTGCATGTGCGTGAAGCACGTGTCTGGTGTGTGTCCTGGCTTCGCTCACGCATGCACGCAAATTTTTTGGGGCACCGAACCAGTAGTAATGGTGGCTGGAACCCACCCCTGGCGTGGAGGCTTGAAGAAGGCAAAAAACGGGCTTACCAGAAGTTTGTGATGTTTGGAAATGAGCTTGTTTCTGGCCTCAGGGCCTTTGGAGCCTGGGAAGACTGTTTTCACCCTCCCAGAGGCTTAAGGAAGGCCTCTGGAGCCTGGGGAGGACAAAAATGCCCCCCCTTGCCATAGTGCAGGGGACTGACTAAGCCATACCCACCATGGCTACGCCCACTCAGCAACCAGACACAGAACCCCTTGCTAAAATTGTTGAAGCCCACCCCTGCTAATGCCACCTGGAACAATGAAGATAAAAAGTGGTACTACAATCCAAACTTCTTCAAACATTTCAAGTTCTACTTTCGAGTCCAAAAATTTCATTTCAAGTCTACTTTCGAGTCCAAGACCTGGGTACTTGAGAGACCGCCTTCTGCCGATTACCTCCCACAGACCCATTTGATCCCACAGATTAGGCCTCCTCTGTATTCCATCTGCCAGCCAATGCCGGCTGGCGACTACTCGGAGGAGGGCCTTCTCTGTGGCTGCCCCAGCCCTTTGGAACGAGCTCCCCATGGAAATTCGGACCCTCTCCACCCTTTGGGCCTTCCGGATGGCCGTGAAGACCTGGCTGTCCCAGCAAGCCTGGGGTTGAGTCCCCCCTCCCTACTTGAATTGCTGTGTCTGTTGTGCTTTTAAATTGTTCGTATTGTCTGATTGTCTTTGTTTTACTTTTTTTAATTTCCCTTCCCTTGGCTTTGTTCAGCCGCCCTGAGTCCCTTCGGGGAATAGGGCGGCCTACAAATTGAATAAACTCAAAAACTCCAAAAATACCATGTCACAGTTTAGATACGGGGGAAGAGAGAAGAGAACAAAAACAAAGAAGGCCTTGAAGTTAGTGGATTTTTTTTTTAAGAAGTCAATCGTGTTCCATTTTAAAAAAAGATAAAAAGGAAACGTTAGGTTACCTGTGGGATATCTTCCGTAGCATGTCTCTCTCAAAGGTGGAAGTTGTCTTTCCAGAACTGGATTTCTCCCTGATGAGGAAACAAATGAGCTTGGCAAGGTCTGGAAGGAATAAACAGTCACACTACTAGGCTGTTTTGGTTCTCTTTCTTTGCACGGCATTGGCGTCACTTTGGTGACCTTCCTATGGGTCTTGGATGAAATCAAGCCCATGTTTCGGAGTTCGGGTGAGCTGTTTTGCACCACAAGAGAAAGAAGGAAGGAAGATGAAGCCCAGTCTTGACGTTATTAAACATAGAAAGAGATAGAGCACCTCATTCCCAGCCTCAAAAATAGTACAATGCAGTCCTCATAATAAGGTAGCACTGAGAAAGACCAACCTCAAAGCTGGAGAACATTTTGTCATGCAGGCATCAGGTCTCAAGGGCTTTGCTTTATTTAAATCAGGAGAAATATAAAACACAAAATGAAGTTCAAGATATTTCCTTAGGAAGACAGGTGCATAGAAGAGGAGAAACCAGCTTTGGTATTTGGTCTTGTTGATTTCTTTAGCAGCTTCTCGAGAGGAATCTGGATTCCTAACGTATCCTAATATAGTTCTCCAAGGGCATTTTTCTTGCAGAATATCCCCATATGTGTATGTGCGCATGTGCCAAAACACACATTTATCAAGAGCCAAAGGCCATGTGTTGCTATGGAAACTCCTTTATAAACTCTTCCCATTACCACACTTGGTGAGTCCAGTTAAACATTGACCTGGTCTGGGAGCTTCCTCAAAGGAGAGAATGGGTATCTGGCTTACTCAACCGGAATATTAAATTAGCCCCAAGCATTCTGGGAATCCAGTGTAAAAAAAAAATTACAGAACAGGAATTTGAGAACATACCCTTCTTTTTATTCACCAAAGAATAGTTAATCCCAAACTGTCAGATATGGTGGTTGCTTCTGGCATGCTCCTTCTATTTGGAATGCCGTATTTATTTTCCACACTTTAAAAATGAGAAATCCAAACAGTGTGCCTTGGAAACAGGCTTTCTTGGAAAAGACTTTAGAAGTAAGGTCTTACTCAAAAGAAGAGCTGCTTTATAGATGCTCTGGTGTGGTGTTTCTCAATTTAGCATCTTTAAAATGTATGGATGTTAAATCCCGAATTCCCCAGTCAACATTTCAAGTTACACCTTCTAAAGCTGGCTGAGGAATTCTGGGAGCTGAAATTGACACATCTTAAAGTTGCCAAAAGCAGAGACATCACCCTGCCAACAAAAGTGCATATTGTCAAGGCTATGGTTTTTCCAATTGCAATGTGTGACTGTGAAAGTTGGACCATAAGAAAGGCTGAGTGCCAAAGAATCGAGGCCTTTGTACTATGGAGAAGACTTCTGTGAGTTCCTTGGACTTCAAGGTGATCAAACTGGTCAGTCCTAGAGGAGATCAACCCTGACTGCTCTTTAGAAGGCCAGATCCTGAAGATGAAACTCAAATACTGTGGCCACCTAATGAGAAGGAAGGACCCACTGGAGAAGAGCCTAATGCTGGGAAAGATTGAGGGCAAAAGAAGAAGGGGACGACAGAGAATGAGGTGGCTGGATGGAGTCACTGAAGCAGTAGGTGTGAGCTTAAATGGACTCCAGAGGATGGTAGAGGACAGGAAGGCCTGGAGGTGCATTGTCCATGGGGTCGCGATGGGTCGGACACGACTTCGCAACTAACAACAACAACAACAACAACAACAACAACAGAGATAGATGGATGGATGGCTGAATA